ACATTGTCTTGATTTCTTTACGTTTGACATTGGCCATGGGTCAGATCCCGTCCATTACTTAAGGATTGCATACAGTTTGTTATTCACTTCTGTTATATAAATATTTGAGTTGCATTACAAATTAAGAAATACTAACACCTTTTTTATGCACTAGCTTATTGCTTATTATACATTGACTTAATTTTCAAGAAATTATGAATGATTTTTTAATGTTAAAGAATGTAAAAAAAAATGTTAAGCTTTCCATCAATGTTTCTGCGAAGTAAATACTGTAGTAATGCATATTATACCTTGAGAGGGTTTTGGGGGTCAGCGCCCCCACAGCTCGGTCTGAGACCTGTTTTGTAAATTCTTAATCTTTTCCCTACAGAAATGCTCAGCAGATCTAAAATCATTCATAAGTTCATATGATATCTAGCTATTTAACACCTCAGCACTAACTGCACCTTTTCCCCACCTTCATCACATAGGGCATTTGTGAGCCAATGGTTAACACGCTCAAATTCTAATGACGGTAAGCCACAGCAGCAATACAGTGTGGTTGTTGCTTCCCTGTAATTTGCTTGTACAGTATTGGTGTTCTTCCTTTTGTCTTGCATTGTTAGAATTTCTGGCGCAGTTAAATAATATTTGGGTCTGCAGAAAGTAAAATTTGGCATGGCTAGAAGTAAGTCCGATTATAATATTGTAATTTGTAGTTTCAAGTAAATACAGTATTTCCCAAAAAGGAGTGTGTGTGGTAATTTCAGTATTGAGCTTTGGATTGTTCTGTAAAATATTATATTAGAATGAGTATGAGCAGGTAAAGTACGCTATAAGACTAGGTAAAAAAACAATTGTAAATGCATTATACAACATACTCAAGACATGCCTTCAGGTTTGACACAACATAACACCAGGTGTTGCAAGTTGACTTAACTATCTTAAAGTAAGTACTGTAGCCACAGCTTAACAGCTCCAAGAAGCAGTATAGGAGAAATAAGAGTGAATTAGGGTTGTATTTCAAAGAATATTAATACTGTTCATTCAATTTGAGAAGTGGACTGTGTCTTTTGTCCAATGAGTGAGGATTTACTGAGGCCTAGCAGTAGCTAAGGTAACTTAGTGACCATCTAAGGGTATTGTATCATTTGTTGAAAATATTTTAACTAGTGTTGGTTAATACATTTGTCAGGGGTAATCACCTAATGAGGCCTTAATCATAGATGGCCCCCAATATATTGATATTTTATGTACTGAATTTCAGTTATAAGCCAAGTGAGGTAACTAAGTACTGTAGATTTATGTTTATGGGGAGGAGCATGGATCATACAATGTCTGGGAAAATGGTATGTAATAAATTTTGATCTAAGGAAGTAGAAATTTAAACAAATTTCCTGAATCAATAGCACTTCAACAGTGTCGAGGCACCTCTCCTGAAGGGGCAAAGTAGATGAGTTAGAGAAGATACAAGTGTCCCATATTCTCTTCATGATAAATATTATAATGTATTAGAAAAATTTTGTATAGGCAAGTTATGTTTGTGGGAGTTGTTGAATATGCTGGGTATGTACATGTATATGTGCGTGTGTTAATTTCTCACTTGCAAGTGCTATATAAATTATAAATGATTGGTGAGTATAGGTCAATGTAGTGTTAGGGTGTTTTGTAACCTGAAAAGGTAAACAAGGTAGGGATTGTTTATATACTGTATCTGCATTGTGCTGTGATGTGCATGCTTTTGGCTGAGTGTTGCCCTGTTACTGAGAAGACATGCTGACTCATGAAATTTTAATAACACAATTGCAAGCAAACCACAGAACAGGCGGGATTTGAACCCAGCTGGCCAATTGGTTTATGCACTGGCTTGGAGTTATAGGACTTGCTTGCCATGGGTTTAAAACCCACCTGTTCTGTGGTTTTTCAAGATATGCTCCTTAAATCTAGTGATAACACACTTATTTTTCATTTTATAGTACATATATGAAGCAGTTTTAAAGTGTTTAATATTTTTATCTAAATGAGATACATTGTTATTATGTGATGTGCAGATATCTTCATAGTGTGCTGCTCATTCGTAGTCTGGAATACTATATTTCGTAGAACTCTCATATTATGACTGTATGTATTAAGGTATTATTCTTTAAACTTCCACTTTTGACCCTTTTTTTTTATGCTGAATTGTTTTAAATACAGAATTATATGATTGGCTCCATGGTAGAGTTGTAGTACAGAGATTGATGTTTCCTTGCTTCAGATGTACCATTCAATATTTGTACGTTATGTGTGTAGTCTTTAACAATGCCTGCACTTTAAAGGAGGGGCTTGGGATATTGGCATTTTGGAGGGATATGCTGTGTATCTTTATATGTATATGCTTCTAAACTGTCATATCCTGAGCACCTCTGCAAAAACAGTGATTATGTGTGAGTGAGGTGAAAGTGTTGAATGATGATGAAAGTACATGTATTTTATTTTTGGGGATTATCTTTCTTTTTGGGTCACCCTTCCTCGGTGGGAGACGGCTGACTTGTTAAAAAAAAAAAAGTGTAGTCTTGTATAAAGTTATATGTACTTATGTTGTAGTATTTCCTTCAGTTTATAAGTATTGAATTTCTAGTGGGTATGTCACCCTTGAACCAATTCCAGCTGTTTACCGATTTGTGAGACAGTACAGTGCTGGTAATATTATTGTTTGTTGTTGTGCATTTTTTGACAATTTCCAATTTACCCATTTTGATGGTCAACAGAACAAACTGTTTTATCAGGTTTCAATTTTTTTTTAGGGTAGGGTGAGGGGATTCCTACTTAGCTGGGAAAAGGCTGGTATGACAAAAAAAACTCGTCTCATCTAACAAGGGCATTTCCATTGCTTTTGGTCTTTGTAAATCATGATTCCTAATTTTGAAATCCACTTTCCTGCTGTATGGACCTTATGTTTTGTGTTTGTCTTCCAGTTGAGTTCAAAATTGCATTATGAAATATGTACATATATACATACTACAGCCCAGTCCCTGGATGCATTATATGCTTCTGTAATCTTTTGATTACCACTCACAGGATGGGTATGGTGTATGATAATGATATTAATTTCACATACAGACATTCACACACGTACTACATACTTACAATCATGTCGTAATAAATGACCTGTCAGCAAATAAAAAGAAACACGGGCGAGGACTCAAACTGTGGTCCTGTCTTGAAACCGATTCAGCGCTGAAGATTGAGACACTTGTGCAACATATGGGAATCTTTATTAAGGAAACGTTTTGCCACACAGTGACTTCATCAGTCCAATACAAAGCAGAGAGGGGTAAGGAGAGGAGGAGTTTGAGGTAATTAGTCTTTCAGCCTAGAATCTGTGTGTTCAGTCCATCACTCTTGTAGAAGAGTGATGGACTTATTTATCACACTCATTTATCACACAATTCAGTGCTGTACCGCTAAGCTACGAGACTTGATAAGAAGGATTGCAGAGACCACTTCTGTGACATGTCTATCAGTGGCCACCAGTTGTGACCCTGCTGTCACTTGCCTGTCATTCTTCTGTATATTCATTGATAGTACTTTATTATGCCTTGAGTTTCTGGACTATATGGCATTAAGGGATATGAGAATGGATGCATCATGAAAGCTGGTTATGGCACATTTCTAGTAAATATAAAGATATCGTCTTCTGCTGGGTACCTGGACATGTTGTTGTTCGGGGTAATGAACAAGCAGACTCCTCTGCTTGATCAGCAGCACGTGACAGTTTTGCATAACGTTGGCAATAACAGTGGTCCAAGTTGGTTTATAATGTCTTTCTATCAAATCATGTTTGGATTTCTGGCTGTCTTACCACCATTGTTGCATTTGTTAGACATTCTACAGCCCACACATCATTCACATGTCTTATAGGTATTTCATGAAAAATGCTTGGCTCTGCTCTGTGAGGATTGCCAGGTTACATTATTAGTTTGTCCTGTCTATTAGAGGGCACACAGAGTTTACTTCTGATGTCTCCACTGCCCCAGCATATTTACTCTTACCTGACCTCCTTGCTAAAAATTTCACCATAGATGCAGACTTGACTCTTATTTTTTTAACAGAAAGTAACATATTGCTTCAACTTTGATTCTATTTTACCTTTAGCATTTTCCACTACCCCCACTAATACTTACTCTGCACACTCCTGCTTGACCTTTACACTGTATGATCCTTTCAGGTTTAGCTATTAGTTTGATAATATTAATATTATGAAAGCTGCTGGGGAGGTAGGTACAGACATCATGGTCACAGTTGGTGGCCACTGATGCAGACATACAGCATTAGTACTGTCTCCAGAATCTTCTTATTAAAGCCTTGTAGCTCAGTGGTACATTGCTGCTAAGCGCTGGACCATGATTTGATTCTCCTTCCATTCTTCTGTTGATTTTTGCATGCTTGACTATCTACCTACCTACCTTGTTTATTTTTGTATACATGAATACCTACCTACCTGCATGTATACATAGCCATCAAACCTTTATTTTAATGGCATAATGGGGGGAGGGGCAGGTGGTTGGTAACGGCAGTTGTGTTTGGTAGAGATGAACTTGAATTGCCATGGTTGTATGAATAATGCATAATTCTGTATCCAGTGGACTTTTACCTTTGTTTCTGAATCTGTTCATACCAGCAGATTTTGTTCCATTACATTGAGAGTATACTGCAAAGCAGAAAACCCACCATTTTGGGAATCTATAGTTTCTTTTATTTGAATATGAAAAAAAATTAGGAACACAACTTGACCATTAGGCTCTAGAGACTCCAAGATTGTAGGTTGGCTGTGGAAATTATTGACAGTAAGGAAAACCTTGAATGAATGGCTGTTTTGGAAGTGGTACATTGTCACTGCAGGAATAAAATGGTTGATCCCATAAAGAGCAGGACTTCACTCATCCTTGCTGTCTTATTAGACTGCCAGATGACAGGCAAGGTGGTTTTGTTTTAACCTTTTAACCCTTTCAGGGTCCAAGGCCAAAATCTGAAGTCACGCACCAGTGTCCAAGAAATTTTTGAAAAAAAAAAAAAATTACTTTTTCTTACAGAATTAAAGAGCATATTTTTGTGAAGGTAATAAAACAAAAAAAAATTAGAAAATGATCAGTACTTACCGAGATACAGTGCCAAGAAGTTTATAGAAAATGATGTGGTGGTGGCAACATCGATGAATTCCACATAGGCGTATTATATTATTTTGTTGTTTTAGTTGTTTTTTCTTTTCTTTTCCAATTTTTTTTCTATTCCTACTAACATTTGGGGCCTGAGAGACCAATACTGTATATAATTGATATATATAAACTCACTGTATTGAACACAATAACTGCACTAAAGTTATTATCATATTATTGTTTACCACTGTTGTTTATTACAATAAACATGCACAAATATTGTATAATACAGTGGACCCCCGGTTAACGATATTTTTTCACTCCAGAAGTATGTTCAGGTGCCAGTACTGACCGAATTTTTTCCCATAAGGAATATTGTGAAGTAGATTAGTCCATT